GGGCCAGGGGGTGGGGTAATTAAAGTAAGGAGGGGGGCGGCCAAAATTGTTTTTGCTTTGGGCGGCAAAAATCCTAGAGCCGGCCCTGCTCAGGAGTGCATTACAATCTGCAATTGTAAGCCCTTCTTAGCCAACAGTGCCACCAGATGTCTGAACTTTATGTTCGTTGCTTTTTTTTCCTGTTTTTTTCAAATGTATAAAATAGTATGTTGCGTAGTGTCCTACCCATACTTAAACACATAAAATATTTATTGTTTGAGTTTTGATCGAAATTTATATAGAATCAACAAAAATAACATGAATTGAGATTCTTTTCATAGCATTTTAATATATTTTGTAAGTACATATGAATAGTGATTGAAAAATGAAAGGATTAAACTGTCATATCTATGGTATTTTATTAATCTGTTATCCAAATTATTTCAGTTCTAAAAATTCACGTTCCTTTTAGAGATCGCATGTCTATCAGAGACATCTGAAATGAGGAGATGTGTGAAATCTTGAATTCCTAATATTCTGCTTTAGCTAGTAAAACACGTTAAAATAGTATATCTTAAACTGAAGCAGATGCTTCCCCAAACCACAGTAATTTTAAAATTTATAACTGGTCTTCTTGTTTTACCCTCATTTCTTTTGGTCTGGATTTATTTATTTTTGTATGCTTGTTACTATAATTTGTACTTATTTGTTTCACAACAGTTACTTCTTTTCATAGCTAACCATAAAGTTGTATTTAATTACTAGAGTCACAGATTCCAAGGCTGAATGGAGCTTTGTACTCATCTAGTCTGATCTCCTGTCTGACACAGGCCAGAGAACTTCCCCCATATAATTCCTAGAGAATATCTTTTAGAAAAACATTCAATCTTGATCTTAAAATTGCAGATGATGAAGAATCCACCATAACCCTTGATAAATTGTTCCAATGGTGAATTATTCACACTGTTAAAAGTTTACATATTATTTCCCTTCTGAATTTGTTTAGCTTCTACTTCCAGCCATGGGATCCTGTTATATCTTTCTCCATTACATTGAAGAGCACATTATCAAATATCTTCCCCTTGTAAGTACTTATAAACTATAATCAAATCATCCCTTAACCTTCACTTTGTTAAGATCAATAGAATTAGTTCCTTGCATCTATCACTATAAGGCATTTTTTCTAATCTTCTAATCATTCTAGCCTCTCTTCTCTGTACCCACTCTTATTTATCAACATCCTCTTAAATTCTGAAAACCAGAACTGTATTCCAATATTCCAGTAGCCATCACACCAGGTCCAAATACAGAGGTAAAATAGTCTCTCTACTCTACTCAAGATTCCCCTGTTTATGCATCCAATAATCATATTAGCCCTTTTGGCCACAGCATTGTACTGGGAGCTCTTGTCCTGCAGATAACCGACCACCTCCAAATCTTTTTCAGAGTCACTGTTTCCGTGGACACAGTCCCCCATCCTGTAAATACAGCCTATGCTCTTTCTTTCTAAATACCTACCTTTACATTTAGCCCCAGTAAAAAGGCATATTGTTTGCTCGCATCCAGCTTACCAAATGATCCAGATCACTCTGTATCAGTGACCTGTCTCCTTCCCACCCCCCACAGATTTTTGTTTCATCTGCAAACTTTAACAGTGATGATTTTATGTTTTCTTCCAGGCCATTAATAAATATGTTAAATAACATAGGGTCAGTGTGGGACAGCACTAGAAACACACTCTTTGGATAATGATTCCCAATTTACAATTACATTTTGAGACCTATCAGTTAGCCAGCTTTTAATCCATTTAACGTGTGCCATGATAATTTTATCAGTCCAGGTTTTTAATCAAAATGTCATGTGGTGACAAATCAAAGGCCTTATAAATGTCCAAGTATATTATACACACTATTACCTTTATCAACCAAACTTGTGAACTCATTGACAAAAAATATCAAATTAGTTTGACAGGATTTTTGTCCATAAACCCATGTTGATTAACAATAATTATATTACCCTCCTTTATTTCTATATAATATTTAGCCCATGCTCCATTATCTTGCCAGGGAGCCATGTCAGACTGACAAGCCTATAATTACCTGGGTGTAAGGAACCAGGGCCTAGGTAGTCTGGCCTAACGGTTACAGCTGGGCTGAGTCTGCATATCAGGGACAATAGTCACTGAGCAGAAGTCAGAGGAATCACAACAGCCAGGTTCAGTAAGCAAGAGTCGGGGTCAGAGTCAGGCTGAGTTTGGGGACCAGAGGTTGTGTTATGAGAAGGAGTAAATAACACTTCCTTATTTACTTTCTCCACACTAGTCATGATTTCATAGATCTCTATCATATCTCCCTGTAGTCGTCTTTTTTCCAAGCTGAAAAGTCCCAGTCTTTTTAATCTCTCCTCAAATGGCAGATGCTCCATACTGCTAATCATTTTTGTTGCCCTTTTTCTGAACCTTTTCCAATTTCAATATATCTTTTTTAAGATGGAGCAACCACATCTGCATGCAGTATTCAAGATGTGGGTATACCATGGATTTGTATAGAGGCAATATGATATTTTCTGTCTTATTATCTATCCCTTTCTTAATGATTCCCAACATTCTGTTCACTTTTTTGACTGCTGCTGCACATTGAGTGGCTGTTTTCAGAGAACTATCCACAATAAATCCAAGATCTCTTTCTTGAGTGGTAACAGCTAATTTAGACCCCATTATTTTATAAATATGCAATATGCAATAGTGAAAGTCTACATGAAATAATGAGACTAGTAATTTCAACCCATAGGGGTGTTTTTGTTCAATTACATTTCAGCCTATATGATCAGTTATTTTCACCATTCCCTTCTGTATGTTAATATTTTGCAGATCATTATGAATATGATTACATATTATAAACTTTATTTATGTTCCCCTAGGACTAATTTCTGAGGTTTAGTATTATTTAACTATTGTAAAAAGCAGAAAATTATTATTTTTAATAATAGTAGTATTATCCCTCAGTATTACATTATGGGGATTTTTTAAAAACTATAGCCTTCACAATATACAATAGTTTTAAGCATAAAAAGAGGAAAGCTACTGTCTAAAATTTATCCCTATGAGTCGCCAATAAATCCTGACCATTAATCAGCTCCATAGGTTTGCGTATTCAGGAGTTTTTTAGACTTTTCACAGTATTCCTGCATTTCAGGTCCTCAACGGCACTTGTTCTCCTTTGACTTTCCTTAAAATTCTTGCAGTGCGTAAGAGAGCTGTCTTCTGGAGATTATTGATTGTGATTGTGACGTTGACAGACCAGGTGCCAGCTCATGCCAGGGTCCCCAGGTTTCAAGTGACCACTGACAAATGCATAGCTGGAATCAGTCTGGCTTACCTGTGTATTAGCATTGTTAAAACAGGTATTATAATTCTAAGAATGTGTTTACTGTTTAGTCTTTATTGAATGCTTGTGAGTTGCTACATGCATGAATCTCACTTATAACATCTGTATCCCATATAGTAAGGTAATATTTAAGCAGTTGTATTTGTGAGCCTCTCTGACTGTGTAAATCACCAGCCAGGAGAGAGACATTAGTGTGAAGGGCTGATCTTCAATAGAAACTGTTATGCCTTTCCCAAAAGGAAAGGTCCATCCATAGAGGGACTATTATGGGCATTGCATTTGGAATTTCCCTACATAGCATCAATAAGAGGACAAAAGACTTTTCTTGTTCTGCTTTTCTGCCCATGAGTATGAGTCATGTATGTGGATTCCTCCCATCAGCTCAGTTTGCAGTTCAAAGCACATGGCAGGAGGGTGATGAAAACCCCAAACAAAAGAAACTTGGTATCTCTATGCTGCTTGGACTCTAGGGGGGCAAAGTGTTTCTAGGCATAAGTGAGAAATCCCCACCTGTTTAGCAGGGTTTAGTAATGAAGGACATATAGAACTTGTTGGTCATAGAACCTTTTTACACCTTTTGAAATTTAAGATTGTAACTCATTAGTGTATCTAGGTTTACCTGCTTTACCCTTGTAAGTAACTCGCTCACTTTCTTTTAATAAATCTTTATAGATATTACATGATTGGCTACAAGCATAGTCTTAGGTGTGAGATCTAAGGTGCAATCAACCTGGAGAACTGGGAGAAACTGGAATATTGCTGTGATTTTTGGTGTAAGGGACCATCTATCACAAATGTACACTCATCTGGGTGGCAAGACAGACAGTCTATCCAGAGGTTGGGATTCACACTCCTGAGGCAGTGCAGGCATCATTGTAGTGATGTCCACACCCAACATGTTCTTGAGCTGCTCATTATTATCCTTAGTGAACCCAAGTGCCCCAATAATCACTGGGATTGTCTTTGTTCCAGTTTTCCATAATCATTCCACTTTGTGACAGAGTTCTTCATCCTTTGCCATTTTCTCTTCTTGTTTCTTTTTTTATTTTTCTGTCTGCTGGTAAGGTCAGATCAATTAACATGTCTTGTTTTCCTTCTTCTCTACAACAGCTATAGCCACACTATTTACCTTCACCATTCAGTCTGTGACAATTGTCATATTCCATAATTTTTACCTATTCATTTTCTAGAGCACTTTCAATTTGGTGGTCATAATACCACATGGTGGGTTTCAATCCATACTTGCCATAGAGACACCAATGCAGACACTTGATGACCATCTGTTCATATATTCTCTTCCAGCCAGACACTTGAAGATGCTCAACACATGGTCCACCATCTTTTCCTTTTCAGAACAGATTCTTCCATTTGGGGAGCAGTTCTGTCAGTCAATTTTGTTTCAAACATAATTAAACTTTAAGGACTGCTCTTGTGCACTCCTAATGAGACTCTCTCTCTCTTTTGATATATCCTTCTACAAACCATGAGTTTGTTAATCTTCAATCACAAGTGAGTTCAATCTCTCTCCATCATTGTCCATGCATTGATTTTTGTGTAAATCTTTTGAATCTTTCTTTGGTGATTTGCTTTCTCCTTTCCTTTATGCTTTTTTGGGTTGGGATGCAAGCTTGGCCATCACTTGTTATCCCAGCCATATGATCTTCTATTCAGTTGACTCTTCTTATATTTTGATGTATATTCTTCCTTCTCAATTGCTTCCTCCATAGCTAGCAGACCTTTTCCTTTCATTGCTGTATGCATAGCCAGGAGCTTTCTTGTTTGGATGTCAATTTTTTTCTCCTCTTGATTCCAGTAGATCACTCCAGCAGTATACTTTACTACTGGTATCACCCATATATGAATGTGTTGGATCAAATTCTTTGAGTTGAGTTTTGTCCTTAGAGTAGTTCTTCTTAATCTGTAATAATCTTTTCTGCCTTCTTCTTTGTTTTCCTTATGTTGCAACTCCAACAGTCCCCTGATTCCAAGGTATTTGTAGGGCCCATGATGAGAAATACTTTATATAGTACCTGTGAAGTTCCCAACAGTGACACAAGAACCTGAGTACCAACCTCCTGGAAGGCTGTTAAAAACCTGGGCACAAACCCCCAATTTTGTTGCAAGTTCCAAACTTAGAGTTCATCAACCAACCACACCAACTACAAACACCTCAGGCAATTTAATAGCCTTAACACTGAGTCTCAGACAGTCCTCTTGGGTAATCCAGTCTGTCTTGCCACCCAGTTGAGTGCATTTCTGTGATAGATGGTCCCTTACATGAAGAATCAGAGCAATATTCAGGTTTCTCCCCATCCCAAAGGACCAGTCACTTACCCCAAGTCAATTGCACTTTAGGTCTCACACCAAAGATGAAGCTTGTAGCCATTCCTATAGTGAACTATATGAAGATGTGTAAGTTAGGGAAAGGGTCTCCTCTTTTAGGAGGGGCATAACAATTTCTGTAGAAGAGCAGCTCTTCCCACTAATTAATGTCCCTCTCCTGTATGGGAATTCATACAGTCACAGAGGCTCATTATACAACCACTCAAATATTACATTACAGTATGGAACACAGATATTACAAGTAAGATTAATGCATGCAGCAACTCACAAGAATTTAACAAAGTCTAAACATTAAACACTTTTTTATAATTCTAATTCCTATTTTATCAATATTAACCCACAAGTGAGACAGACAGATTCCATCTATGTATTTGTCAGTGTCCAGTTGAGACATGGGGAGCTTGGCATGAGCTGTCACCTGGCCTGCTGGCACCACAGTAAGCCTTTCTTAATTTGTATGCCATCTGATTGTATCAGTTTGCCCCCTTTACAGATATGTACACTGTATTTAGTCACACCAACCTCTAGCTTTATATCTTCATCAATCTTTTCTACATATCATCTGTCTTTGTGTATCTGTGACAGCCCTTGGTTGGGTTTGTTGGTAGGGGAGTGCCACCTAGCTGTCATGACTTAGACCTGTGACATGCAGGGGGTTGTTGGTAGGGGAGCACAGGCCCTCCCACTCCACTGGAATCCGACCAGGACCCTTTGGGAGCTATCAGTGCTCTGACAGACAGAGATGCTTAAGGCAGCCCTCCCTGGGCCACTTACTACCACCTCCCTGAGATTGTCCCAACGTAGCCATCTGAGCTATGGCAGCGCGAGGGTTGTCTGCTCACCCCACTTCTGGAGGCTGCATGTTGTGAGGTTGTTCTCCTTTCCTCCTGTGGCATGACCCAGCCTCCCAGGGCCAGCTCAGTCCAAGGGTTTTCCCCTGCTGGGGTAGTTCAATCAAGTCCAGTGTTCATATGAGAGGGAGAGGGGAATGCTTTCCACTCAGGGTTTCCCTGCAGCAGGCCTTCCCTTTCCTCAGGGAGGGATCTTTGGGCAGTTGTTTAGGGAGAGATTCTTCTGCCTTCCCTCAGCTCCCTGGAGCTGCAAGTAGCATGTCTGCTCTCCTCCCTGGTCTGCCACAAGATGAGCAGCTCCCCTGACTTTTAACCCCTCCTCCAATTGGCACATTTCCTACAGGCAGGGCAGGGTGGCACTGGCTGAGCCCAGAGTACTTCCTTAACCCTTTGTTGCTCATTGTGGGGTTTGTACACTTCATCACAATCTCCTTTTGTGACTGTTCATATAGTTTCAGATTATCCATGTGAAACAAATGCTTTACTGTTTGTTGCTCTTTGTTGTTATAATAACCACAATTTATCTCACCAAGTATCCATGTAAGCAGTAGCATCACTACCATAAACAGCACTGGTGATAAGGAATTCCCTTGAAAGATTCTTCTAATTTGGACCTCATCAATGACAATCTCTTCAAGGTACAGTCTAGTGTGCCAGTTAACCATAGATTGCTCCAGAAAGGAAATGACCTTTGGATGAACCTTGTGAATTGTAAGTCTCTCAATGATCCATTAATATGAGATGTTGTCATGTGCTTTTGGGTAATCTAGCCACACCATCTCTAAATTTTTTTTTCCTGTTTTACATATTCTGTGATCCTCCTGTTCAGCCTGTTTTGTCCCTTTCATGTTTACTGTGCAGCATGCTTGCTCAGCTTAGGAGGCAGCATTCCATTGTGAGCTAGCACCATCTATATCTTCTTTGCCAGAATTGCTTTTAGAAGTTTCAGCATAGTTGGTAAGCACATGATAGTAATATAATTATTATATTATATATAATTCATAGAATCACTACAGTCTTCTTCTTCTTTTTTTTTTTTGGTAGGAGGATGTGTATCACTGTCACTATCCATTTTTGACATCCATTCTTCAAACATTTGTTAAATTGTTCAAGTAAACAGCCATGGAGAGTTGTTAGGTGTTTCAGCCAGAATCCATGCACTTGTGTGGTTCAGGAGCTTTCCAATTACTTCCTGGGTGTTACCCCAGGAGCAAACATTTGAAATCCAGGTATAGAGCCAATACTTATAACTTTAAATATGAAAATGATACATGATACATGTGCATACAGATAGCATAATCATAATCAGCAAATCATAACCTTCCCCAAACATTGTAGGGGGAATGGAAAGTGGACAAGGGATAGGAGGTAGGGTCAGGAAGGTAATCATAGAATCATAGAATATCAGGGTTGGAAGGGACCTCAGGAGGTCATCTAGTCCAACCCCCTGCTCAAAACAGGACCAATTCCCAACTAAATCAACCCAGCCAGGGCTTTGTCAAGCCAGGCCTTAAAAACCTCCAAGGAAGGAGACTCCACCACCTCCCTAGGTAACGCATTCCAGTGCTTCACCACCCTCCTAGTGAAACAGTGTTTCCTAATATTCAACCTGGACCTCCCCCACTGCAACTTGAGACCATTGCTCCTTGTTCTGTCATCTGCCACCACTGAGAACAGCCGAGCTCCATCCTCTTTGGAACCCCCCTTCAGGTAGTTGAAGGCTGCTATCAAATCCCCGCTTATTCTTCTCTTCTGGAGACTAAACAATCCCAGTTCCCTCAGCCTCTCCTCATAAGTCATGTGCTCCAGCCCTCTAATCATTTTTGTTGCCCTCCACTGGACTCTTTCCAATTTTTCCACATCCTTCTTGTAGTGTGGGGCCCAAAACTGGACACAGTACTCCAGATGAGGCCTCACCAATGTTGAATAAAGGGGAACGATCACGTTCCTCGATCTGCTGGCAATGCCCCTACTTATACAGCCCAAAATGCCATTAGCCTTCTTGGCAACAAGAGCACACTGTTGACTTATATCCAGCTTCTCGTCCACTGTGACCCCTAGGTCCTTTTCTGCAGAACTGCTACCTAGCCATTCGGTCCCTAGTCTGTAGCAGTGCATGGGATTCTTCCATCCTAAGTGCAGGACTCTGCACTTGTCCTTGTTGAACCTCATCAGGTTTTTTTTGGCCCAATCCTCTAATTTGTCTAGATCCTTCTGTATCCGATCCCTACCCTCTAGTGTATCTATCACGCATCTGCAAACTTGCTGAGAGTGCAGTCCACACCATCCTCCAGATCA